CTCTCCCTTTTCCTTCCCTCCTTTCCTTCATCCCTCTCCTTCCTTCCCTCCATCCCTTCCTCCCTTCTTTCCCTCCATCCCTGTCCTTCCTCCCTTCCCTCCCTCCCACCATCCCTCTCCTTCCTTTCTTTCATCCCTCTCGTTCCTTCCTTCCCTCCATCCCTTCCATCCTTCTTTCCCTTCATCCCTCTGCTTCCTTCCCTTCCTTCATCTTCCTTCCATTCCTTCCTTCCCTGCATCCCTTCCTTCCCTTCATCCTCCCTTTTCCTTCCCTCCCTCTCCTTCCCTCCTTTCCTTCATCCCTCTCCTTCCTTCTTTCCCTCCATCCCTCCCCTTCCTCCTTTCTTTCATCCCTCTCGTTCCTTCCTTCCCTCCATCCCTTCCATCCTTTTCCCTTCATCCCTCTGCTTCCTTCCCTTCATCTTCCTTCCTTCCTTCCCTCCATCCCTCTCCTTCCTCTCTTCCCTTCATCCCTCTTCCCTTCCTTCCTTCTCTTATCTTTTCCCTCCTTCGACCCATTCCTTTCTTCCTTGTCTCTTTTCTTCCCCTTCTGTATCCCTTCCTTCTCCTTCTCCCTTCCTTCCTCTTGCATCTCTTCTTTCCTCTTCTGTCTCTCTCCCTTCCTTCTCTGCGCCTTTTCTTTCCTTCCTTCCTTCTGCATTCCTTCCTTCCCTCCCTGGGGGAGGCCAAATTGCCTTTTATTTCGTTTTACAAATCCACCCAAGTGGGAGACCCCATTCACTGCCCAGAGCCACGTTTCCCAACCTTGGGCCCCCGGGAAGATGGGTGGCCTTCAACTCCCAGAGTTCCAGGCTGTCTGGGGCATTCTGGGAGTTGAAGTCCCCCCCACACACACACACTTTTAAACATGGCCCAGGTTGACAAACGCCAGTCCCCAACTCCATCCTTTTCTTAACAGATTAGCTGGATCCCCGTGTGCTTCGCTACGAAACTGTGTGGTGGGGCTTAGTTTGGGGGGAGGAAAATAAGGGGAGGGGGGAAAATTCTGCCTCTGCCTACCAGCATCCATGGGTATTCATCTGGCTGGCGTCCTGTCAGTGTGTGAGAGAGTGGAGGGCTGTTTGGAAACTGAAGCAGTTATTTGCTGTGTGAGCAAGGAGACAGCAAGGAGCCTGGGCATGGCTTAGCTCAACTGTTCTGGACTAAAGCTGCTTGCTGCTGTGAAACTAAAACTAAAACTCCTCTGCTTGTGTTTTGCATCAGAGCATAATAATAATAATAATAATAATAATAATAATAATAATAATAATAATAATAATAATAATAATAATAATAATAATAATAATATAGGAAATACTCTAAATGCTCTGAGGGTCATTTGGAAAAATCCTTTCTTAGTGAGCCCCTAGAAGCCCAGAGGAACCTACGGGTCAAATTTAAAGTTTGTAGGCTTTACGGTTCTGGAGATTTTGTGATGATGCATGAGGGATAATTTCGCTTTGATATAGATAGATAGAAGACTGACAAGAGTTGGAAGGGTCCTTGTAGGTCATCTAGTCCAACCCGCCGCCCAAGCAGGAGACCCTACCCCGTTTCTGACAGATCCTCTTTCAACAGCACCCAGACATGGCCACCCCCTTGGAGAAAGCCCTGGACACCATGGTGGTCACCTTCCACAAATATTCCCAGAAGGAAGGAGACCAGTTCAAACTCAACAACACGGAACTGAAGGAGCTGCTGAAACAGGAGCTGCCCGGATTCATTAGCGTAAGTGCTTCGTTCCACCCGTGGTCGTCCTCGACTTATGACTAAAATCAAGCCCCCCTCCCCCCAAAAAACTTCTGTCACTAACCATTGTTCAGCGAGTTGTCAGGATTCCGGAGATTGCCCTTGAGCCAAGCTTCAAAAGAAACCAAAAGATTTATTAGGAGCAACATGCCGGCATTAACCTGTATGAAGCCAACTCTGGAATACGTAATTTACGGTCACTTGTGACCCTGTTTCCTCCCCTCTCCCCTGGGTGTGTCATAAATCAGATTCTCCAACGAAGCACCTGGGCTGGATGTCAACAATCACGTTCTCCACTGAAGGATTTTTCCCGGGCAGAAGATCCGGTAGCCTAGCTACAATCTTTGTAAGATAAAGAGTTGGAATGGTACTTCTGGTTTTAAAGTGCTGTACTGCTCCTTCCGATTCCCCCCACTTTCTTTATGGCAACTCGAAAACGGGCATAGGACTGCTTTACGAGTTGACACGAGTTTTGTTCGGTGTGACGACCCTTTCTGGCCACGGATGCTCAGGGAATTCTCCCAATCCCGTTAAGTTAGTCACGCGGTCGTTGAGTGGACCTATCATTAAGTCACGCAGTTTTAAGCGAATCTGGCTTTGACTTGACCTCGCCGGACGGTCGCAAAAGGGGATTTATACGACCCCCATCCCGGGCACGCTGCTGCGGCTGTCGTAAATCCAAGCGTCTGAATTTTTCACCATGCGGAAAACCCGCCATAACGGTGGCTAAACCAACAGGTTGTAAGTCAAGGAGTAGCTGTGTTTTAGTCACCCGGCAATGTTGATTTAAGGGAGGAGCTGGGGCAACGTTTCAACCCAACTTCCCTCCCTTCTCCCACCCCCCCCTCACCCCAAATTAAATTAAATGCTCTGTTTTTTTATTTCTCCCCCCAGAAGAAAAAGGACGAATCCACGTTTCAGAAAATCCTGAGCAACCTGGATTCCAACAAAGACAACCAGGTGGATTTCAAGGAATACGCCACGTTCCTCGCCTGCATTGCCATGGCGTGCAATGACTTTTTCCACGGATTCCCGGACAAGGTGCCACGGCAGAAGTGAAGTGTGGAGGGGCAGAGGGGTGGGGGCGTGCGACACGAGCGGGCCAGCGTGCAAGACAGGGCGGGCAGAGTTCACAGGTGTGTGTAAGGTGACTTCCCTCCCCTTGCAGCCTTTGATTGGTGCCACAGCTTATCTCTGGCGAAGAGAATAGCCAGTTTCTTTCTCCTCACACACACATACACACACACACACACACCAAGAACAAAATAAAGTTTGCTTTCAAAAAAAGAAAAAGAAAAATACCAAAAAAAATTAATCCTTGGTTGTCCTGCTTGTCTCCTGAGGGGCTGGGGATGATGGGCATTGGAGTTTGGGGCGTGGGGAGGAGGAAACCTGGTTTAAAAAAATGGTCCAGGGTATTGATTGAGTGGGTTCAGTTTTGGAACCAATCAGAGGAAGGAAGGAAGGAAGGAAGGAAGGAAGGAAGGAAGGAA